TAGCTCCATGGGATGCAGCTCCTTCCTGATTCCCAAGTGTTGCATGTCCAGGTGTGTGGCTAGTGAATCCTTCGATGTCCCCCCGGTGTCCATTAAGGTGTTAAGAGTGTTAGCGCACACGTTTTTAGTGATGTGCATGGGATCAAGACAGTGGCCTACACTCAGAAATGGTCAATAATCTAGTTTCTAGAAAACCAATTTTTTTTCCAAACGCTCCCATCAGGCGCTGCTACTGCATTGTCCCCCTTCCCAAGGACAACCTCCAGTTTGTTGAGTTCTCGAAGTATCGCAGGCCCATCTCGATATTTTGGAGCTAAGCGTTTCTCAAAAGTACCATTGAAATCTTTTCTGTTCCTGCGATAAGGGTGATCCTTAGGTAGGAACCTACGGTGTCCCATATAAACTATCTTTCAGTTATTTGGCAGATTTACCGCATCGGTGTCGTCCAAGCACTCGACACATCCAGTATAGCCTTTTGTCTTCTCTCCAGACAATGAACCTCGACCTAGAAGGTCAGTAATTGTAGTGATAAGTACTCCTTGATCGTGACATGTTCCTTTTTGTACTCGTCCCAAACATCCGGCACACCCTTTTCAAACATCTCCACTAGTTCATCGATCACTGGTTCTAGAAACACATAAATGTCATTCCTAGGTTGTCTTAGCCCTTGGATCAATAGTGGCATCTAGATGTATGACCGCTTCATACAGACCCAAGGTGGAAGGTTGTATATACAGAGTGTCACTGGCCAGGTGCTATGATTGCTTCTAACCTAGTCGAAAGGATTCATTCCATCTGTGCTCAAAGCAAACCAAAGATGCCTTACCTCTCCATCGATGTCCTTATAGAACATAGTATTGACAGTCCTCCAGTCATGCCCATCGGCGGGGTGCCTCATCATTGTATCTTTCTTACGCTCTTCGCCATGCCAGCGCAACAGCTTGGCTGACTTTGCACATGCAAACAACATATGCACCCGGGGAGCTATAGGGAAATACCAAATGACCTTTACGGGACCTCCTCTGGTCTTGGTACCCTCATCTGATGGCCCTTCCTTGTACCGTGGAGCTTTACACTTGGGGCACTTGTCCAAGTCTTTGTATTTTTCTCCATGGTACAATATGCAATCATTGAAACACGCGTGGATTTTTTCAATCTTGAGGCCGATGGGGCAGATCATTTGCTTGGCCAAGTATGTCTTTTCTGGCAACTCATTTTTTTCTGGGAGCATTTTCCTTATTATACCTAACAATTGATCGAAGCTTTTATCGCTCAATCTGTTTATCGATTTGAACTCTAACAACATGATGTCAGCTTCCAGTTTGCTCATTGGACAATCCCTATACAATGGTGTTTTGCCATCTTGTCTCATTTTCTCTAGCTTTCTCAGCTGTCTTTCACTAAGACATCCGGTGTCTATATTACATAGCAGCTGAGAAATGCCATCGTTATCCTCGGTGTCGTCAGCTAGCGTGTTCCTAAACACATTATTAACTATGGGCATAGGTTCCGTGTTGACACTGGGTTCCTCGTCAGCATCGTGGATGGCTATGTCAGGCATGTCCACATCATCATCGTTTTCCTGTAGAACATTCACACCAACCTCGCCATGCATAGTCCATATCGTATAGTTTGACATGAACCACCTGGTAATCAAGTGCGATCGTATAGACTCAATTTGATGAAAGTTCCTTTGATTCTTGCAATCTTTGCATGGGCAGAAGATAGGGTTCCCATTCCCAGCATGGGCTTTGGCATCGGTGATAAATTGGCTGACGCCATGCATGTACCGCTTGTCCGTTCGGGACAGATGCATCCACTCTCGATCCATCTCTGCACAAAAAAATACTGAGATAGTAATTACAAAGAATTAATAAGAAATTAAGCTTCATGAACAACAATTGTAGCTCGAAAGTACCATTTTTGGAAAACATTATTGTACACTAATTATTGGAAAATTAAAATTGGTAGCCCCGGCCCTGTAAATTGAAAATCGTAGTAAAAACAATTATTGCACAATATTGAAGAACAACTATTCTACTATACTTCTAAGAACTAATTATAGCATCACATACTAACAATGATGATCTTGACCACCATGGAACAATTAGCTAGAAATTTAAATGTGTTCATAGACACCAACTGTTTGGATGATGGATTCACCATAATTTGAGCCTTGCACAAATGTCCAATTGGAAAAATGCTCTCTATAATGGAGAAAGAACTAGAATGAGAATCAAGCAATGTAGCCATCAAAACAAAGCTAATTAAGCAACAAAATCAAAGGAGTAGATGTTTGTTACTAACCTTAAAGCAAAAAGATCAAGCCATTCTTCAAAATTAAGCGCTAGCTTCATGGTGAAGAGCAGCCGCAACAATGGAGGGAAGGGCCCAAACACGCGCCTCTATTTTTGGGATGGAAGAGAGGAAGAAGAAGAGGACGGCTGCAGCCTTTTTATGCTATAGGCTTATCACCGTCGGCTCTTGGCTAGAACCGACAGTGATAGAGCCAAATCACTGCCGGTTTGTGGTTTGAACCGGCAGTGATAAGTGGCCGCCAAAACACTGCCGATTCAAGCCACAAACCGGCAGTGATGTGGTGCTTCACTGCCGGTTTTAGCCCAGCCCCAATCATTTTCTCATTTTCAAGCTCATAACTGGCAGTGAAGGTACATCACTGCCGGTTCTCACAAATCCGGCAGTGATGAGGCCGGCAGTGATGTCCAAATCTGGCGTAGTGTAGCATAAGACAAATTGTTCTATATTATTGAATTTTTATCATTTCTTTTATTTCTGGTAGAAGAGTGATCACCCCGAAATTGAGGGTAAAAAGAGGAAGGAACTCTTCATAAAAATCTAGAAAGAGCGTCATAAGATCTGGTTTTATGATGTCCAAGATTACTTGATAGAACTCTGCTGGAAAACTATCGAGGCCAGGAGACTTATTATGCTCCATTTGGAAAACATCATCCTTTATTTCCTTTTTCGTAAACGAAGCTAGTAAAATATTATTTTCCTCCTCTGTCACTTGAGGTATATCTTCAATATAGTTTTCCACTAAGAAAAATCATTTTCCTCTGGTTGACCAAACAACCCCTTGTAATAGTTTGTGATGACGCTTTTAATGCAGCGTCACTGTGTACTACTCCATCTTCTTGCTACAATTTGAAGATACATGGTTTTGTGTGTTTTCCATTAGCAACCAAATGAAATATTTAGTGTTATTATCAGCTGCCAAGAGATCTTTAGTTTTCGCTCGCTCATACCAGTTAATTTCTTCTCTCAAAAAATGAACCAATCGTTCATTGTGATAGTGTTTTAAGTTTAACTCTTGGTCACTAAGCAATCTAATTTCTGCGAAATTATGCAACTCATCAATCATCAAGGCCAATTTCTTCTTCTCCTTCTTAATGTGGTTTGCTATATTTTTGGCCCATCCACTTAAAAATTGGAGAAGCGTTCTGATTTAATTTTGCCAATTTTCCATGGCAGTCGTTCCAGAGGTTTCTGATTGCAACACATCATCAACCAAGTCATAGAAACCATCATGTATGAGCCACCCTCTCTCAATTTTGAAAAGAGGTTGTTGTTTAATGTCAGAAGAAGCTCCTGTGTTCCATAGTAATGGTGTGTGATCTGAATTACTCCTATTCTTAGCATGTACCATTGTGAGAGGAATTTTGTGTTCCCACTCAATACTAGCTAAGACCCTGTCAAGTTTCTCAAAGGTATGGTTATTTCCACTGCCTGCCCAAGTATAATACGACCATGCATTTCTATTTCTTTGAGATCTAGACTCTAAATGACCATATTAAATAGATATGGCCATTTTACATCAATATTGTCCTTATTTTTGTCTTTAGGACGACACATAATATTAAAATCCCTACCAATTATGTAAGGAAGATGTTCTTTACTACACGTATGGGCCATGTCCGAGAGAAAATTTTCCTTGAGATGTTGTTCTGCAGGACCATATACCACAAATAAAGCCCACTTGAAGGCATCACTTTTATTTCAAAGCATGAACTTAACATAAAAGTCTCCTTCATCAATGGCTTCAATATCAAACACCATTAAGTCTACCCTGAGGAGGATTCCCCCGGGTCGACCATGGGGTGCCATGCAGTGCCAAAAAATTCTTTGCCACAGCAAAGTTTTTTTAGGGGTCCTGTCTGGGAAGTTATCCCAACCCATTTCCACAAGAACAATAAAATCAATTTGCTCATCTTTTCCTAATCTTCCAAATTACCCATGTTCAACCAAGTCACCAAGACCTATGCTATATGTTCTAGAAGATCCGTTTCATTTAAGACCAAACTTAGCTTTGGCTTGGTACATGCCTATTGCCACTACCCTTTGTTTATATAGTCCCCTCCCCATACATGTATGTAGGAGTCCCTACTCCTAGTAGGATCCTATACTCAAGTCCTAATAGAACTAGAAGTCCTAATAGCACACCTCTCTTGAGTCCTACTATAAGTAGGATTTGAGTCACCATACAACAAGGCCCTTATAAGATTTGAGGAAATTACGAAAATTTGCACAAAATTCTACATCGTTGTGGAGATCTCTTTTAATGTGCATTGAGAAGGTTGTGTGTAACATTGTTGTTGAAGAGAGATGTTACACATTTCGTGACAATGTTCAGAACTGCACGACATTATGTTTTCAACAAAGGTGTTACACAATTTGTGAAAATTTGCACAAAGTTACACATAACCCTGAGACGGGTCAGGGACTAAACATACAGTTCATTGTTTGAATACAAATTCTACTATTCCTCCATTGATCAGTCCATTACTTCGTTTCCTTTTATTTATCCATTTCAAGCAGAACATGATTACCAAACTCTGAACATGACAACTCGATCAGGTCGACCTTGCTGCTGGAGATGCATGACATGCTTGGAGATTCTGATAGCAATCGCAATGCACTCGGTATTTGTTTCTTGCTTCAGTTCTGTCCATTTCATATGCATAAGCTAGAGGGCACGTACATTATTGTTGCCTATTATAGTTGAAGCAGACTGGGCCAACATAGATGTATCTGTATAAAACCATCTGATCATATAGCACTCCTAATCCGAAGAATATTCCAAAGGCAATCGCAAAGATGACCTTGTCAATATGCTGTTCTGTGGAGGTGACGACGGGGACCGCAGCTGCATCTGTTGAACTACAATGGTGTGCCAGGGTAGGGCCGCACAACTTTGGGTTTCCAACAAAGCTACTATCCGGAAACGTGCTGAACTGGCCTCCAGTTGGAATAGGCCCTACCATATCATTGTTAGAAATGTTGAATTTGGAAAGGAAGTGAAGCATCCCCAATGTCGAAGGAATTGCGCCGGTCAGATTGTTGTATGACAAGTCTAGCACTTGTAGATTGCTGAGGTTGCCAATTGATTCAGGAATCTCCCCATATAAGTTGTTGAAGCTCAGGTTGAGTGTAAGCAGTTCTTTTAACTGACCAAGCTCTGGTGGGATTACACCGGTAAGTTTATTGTAGCCTAGATTGATCATTCTTGGGAGACCGCTGGTCGTACGGTATTGGAGAAATGGAGTAAAATAAACAGGCAACCAAAATACAATTGTGTCTGGGAAAATTTTGTCTGGTTTGGCCTTCTCAAGCATTGGCATCTCCATCAGTGCTACTGGTATATCTCCTGTAAGACTGTTATTCGACATGTCTATGTAGAAAAGGAAGTTTAAGGTGTTAATCCATGCTGGGATTGGTCCACTGAGTTGATTGTTGTTTAAAAGCAGCGCTTGCAACAGTTTAAGCTTGGACAGCCAGTTTGGTAGATTTCCATACAGTGAACAGTCGTTTATGGCAAGTCCCTTGAGATTCTTAAAGCCATAAAATGTATCATAGTCTGGCATGGTCTCATGCTTGAAGTTTCCCCCCATTATTAAGGGAGAGAGGGTCGTAGAGGAATTGAGCATCTGAAGTGTATTGGTGATGTTTGTAAAGTTGTTATCGGAAAATGCTAGGAATTTTAGTGACTTGAAATTCTTTATTCTGGACGAAAACTGACCGTGAAGTCTGTTGAGAGATAACCGCAGTGCAACAAGGTTGCTGCAAGAGTAGAGGCTTTCTGGAAATGTGCCAGTGAACTTGTTTAATCTAAAATCTAAAATCTTTAGATTAGATAGGGTGGAGAAGTTGACATTTGTGAGTTTTCCATGGAAGTTATTCCTCCTGAGGATGAAGGTTGTGAGATTTGAGCAATTGCTCAGAGATGGTGGCAGCTCTCCAGACATGTTGTTATAGTCTAAGTGAAGCTCCTCCAGCATCTTGAGCTGCCCAATTGAATCTGGGATCTCGCCATTTAGCGAATTCCCGCCAAGATCAAGGACAACTAGTTTGCTGAGTTTGACTAGATGCTCAGGATACAGTTTTCCATGAAAATGGTTATTAGGGAATGAGAGGTGCTCTAATGATGTGATATTGAAGAGCTCAGCCGGGAGTGTCCCGCTGAGTTGGTTATGTCCAGCCTTAAGCACTCTCAGTATAGAGCAGTTGCCAAGCTCCGGGAGTATGCCACCATGAAACTGGTTGTAACTGAGATCAAGCACCACAAAGAATGGCTTGTCAACACAAACCGTGCTCGGAAATTTCCCAGTAAAGCTATTGTTACTCATGTTGAGAGTCGCCAGATTCTTCATGCCATCTAGTGTGGCAAATGGAAAATATCCTGTGAAAAAGTTGCTTGAGATGTTGATTACCTTCATTGCCAGTTCATGGGTGGATGGCAGCTTGTTGAACTCTCCACTGAGCTTGTTGAAGCTAACATCGAGGACGACGATGCTGCTGGACCATAGCAGCTCTGGTGGGAGTCCACCGGAGAGTGAGTTTCCAGACAGGTTGAGCCTCAACAAGCTGGTGAGATTTCCAAGTGAGGGTGATATGTGCCCCTCAAGGCCCCTTGAAGCCAGAGAGACATCCATGACAGTCCCATCCTCATTGCAAGTAACACCCTCCCACAAACAGCAGTTTGTGTCATTTTTCCAAGAAGTGTTGAGGGCAGAGGCCTGAGAGAGACCATCGAGGAACCCAAGGAGGGTGGTCTTCTCCTCTTCTTTGCAGGAGCAGACGGGAGAGGCCAAGAAGAGCAACAGAACAAGAGCAACACTAAGTAAAGATACTTGTAATGTTTTTGGTTTTCTGTTGCTCGAGGCATGGAGTTGCTGTGTGGTCTTTTCCATTGTACAATGTAGGACTTCCTGCGGTGAGCCTGATAATTAAATAGAGCACCACTGCATCAGCAACTGAATATTTAAAAGCAGGCGAGGATGTTGATCCCATTTTGCTTTTACTTCCTTTTCCCTTTATATATTAGATGCCTATAGCTTTTCTGGAATTGCAAATTGTGATATCTAGATGCAGACGAGTTTCTCGTATTAGATACTTTTGTGGTTTCGTAGTTTTTATTCTCTGATGTTTACTGAACAAACTAGCATGTCTTTTGGTGACAGCAGGGCCCTACAGATTTGACAGGGCCTGATGAAGCCCAACCGAAGAACAACTCTAAGAGCCTCTTTATATTCGTCCAAATTAATAAGGAATAGACATTTTGATGAAAAAAACCTACAATATCTTTATTTAATGAGATCTCCAAATATAGCTACCCTTTGTTTCAGATTTCTCGACAGTTAAAGTTGGAGCACGGTGCTGGCTCTCACACAAGATAAAGATATAGAGAGCAATTTTTATTCAAATTACTCCAAATGATGATGTAGAGAGTAAGTTGAAGAGAAACTTTTGGAGACGCTCTTCTATAATCTGTTATTAAGAGGAATACCAATAGAGATTTTGATGAAAAATTGTCCTCCAAGGATGCAACAACCTCTTTAATTAGATCTCTAAATATTGTCATTGTCTTTTTTCGGATTTCTTGCTATCCAAAGAAGCTGTTGGAGGATGAAAAGATGTAAGAGCTACTTTTACGCAAATGACTCTCCAAATAATGATTTAAAGAGTGGAATAAAAAAGACGCTTGGAGATGCTCTAACAAGGTGTGAGCTCGCCCACCTTATTACTGGTCAATCCACACTTGGATTTCATGTCTGTATTGTTATTTCTTTTGTAAAAGCCACACAAAGTATATATATGCCATGGATATACACATATCTACACGCATGGTTGTGTTGGTCAATTGGTTTCGTGGTCGACTATATTTATGATCTAAACCTTGAAAGAATTATTCTTTTCTATAATTGTTCGTGGACTGGCTATTGATTCACCAAAATAAATTAGTTAATAATGTGGTGAAGAAGCTCGACAGACAAAAAAGAACTATTGGATTTTGGATGTGTCCCACTTGTGGACTTGGACGTAAGTGATGCTGTGGTAAGGTGAGCAAGGAAAAGAGTGGTCCACGATTCTAGATGAGTGCATGGCCGATATGAAAGTTCTAAACTTAAGTTCTTAATTATTGTATGTTCACAATTTGAGTTAGAACATGGAAAAATTCAAGAGACTGTATACACTTCACAAATTTTACCTTTCTCTGAACCTTGTTTTCAACGCAGGAAAAATAAAAAGATGTGAACAAGTATTTTACAATCATAGGATTACGCCCACCGGTTGTTGGCAAGTGCACCGTGGTGGTTGATAGTAGTTCTAACTGTGGTGTCAGCACGCACCAAGTGGAAGGTGTGCTGCCACACACCTATCCTGATCCGATCCAGCTTTTGGAAAAGAGAAGATGCCATAGCGATCTATTCGTCAACTAAATCACTTCAAACTCTGTATCTTTCTGTGATTCGTGCATATGCATGTATATATGTTGACAACAATGTGGAACCTTTGAACAAGTGATGTTCCATAACCGGCTAGTCGGGAATCTTGAGCCGTAGAAAGATAAGAATGTGGTCAGTCCGTATATTTTGGTTCTCTTTTTATCCTCCTATAATATTCCTGTTCTTTAATTGAGAGTCCTCATCTTTGCCACCGATTGGCTTCTTTCTTTATCGTGAATCTTTGGCAGATTTGGTTCAAACTGTGTACAGGAAGACATTTGAACTAGTGTGGTGGGATATGGTGTCCAAACATTTCTACAAGATTATCAAGGGGTTATTTGAACATTACTAGATATTTTAAGGGCTATAATATCACGTTTTATAGTTGAGAGCTTATATATTGTGAGGGGTCTGACCCTAGGTACCCACAGCGATGGACATGGGCCGCCCCAACAGGGACGATTCAGCCCACAAGATGAGGGCTTGCGGCGCACGGCACTGCTCGGCGCACGCCGCAAGGCATCTCGGTGACATCATAAAGATATAGCATAGGATCTGTTATGATATGCCAAATGAAATATTCCATGTAAAGATTATTTGTTACCCCATTAGACTTAGACCTGATCGGCATATAACCCTACCCCCGTGCTATATAAGGTGGGTAGGGAACCCTCTTAAAACACATGCAATCATATACGATAGCCAATACAAACCGGCAGAACACAGGATTAGGGTATTATGTCGAGCTGACGGCCTGAACCTGTCTAATCTTGTGTCTCTGTCACCATCTAGGTCCTGTTCACGCGGACCTCTTCGATCAATCTACCACAGAGGGTAGCCCCCTCGGTGCATTGCCGAGCATCTTTAGTCGACAGTTGGCGTGCCAGGTAGAGGTGTGCGCTTGATCCCATGGCGAGCCAGATGGTACGCCTCCCGAGCTCTCCGTTCGCTCCTAGGCCCGGCCAATCCTTCACGGTCGGATCCATCACCTGGGTCATCAACGCCAATGGCGACGAGGAAATCGTCCAACCGGTGCAGGGTTGCCCTGCACCGAACGCAGCAACAGCTGCGCCAGTAGATCCGATCTCGGGATCTCTCCCGGGGTCACCTTCCTCTCCGACAACTCACCCATCAGCGCCACGCCAGCTGAGGAAGGCTATCCAACAGGACAATATGATATCCTCTATAGATCGGGTCGATTTAAAGTTAGCTAAATGCTTGTCGCTCATGGAGTCGGTCTCCTTACGACGATGAGTTCCCACCGCTCCAGCACTTCCCGTCGGTTAGCACCAAGCGTTCCTCTAGATCTCGCCACCCGAGGTGGCAAGATACAGATCTAACCATCACGACAACTCCAAAGGGGCGCACGGTGCAGTGTTGGCGTCTCTCCAGATCCTGTCTGCCTAAGGCCGGGCAAGAAGCTCCAGCGCAAGGCTCCTGGCCGCCCAGCTCTACGGGTCGACCAACGTGGCCGCCGTCTACTAAGATGCCTTGCGAGATCTCTACGTCGACTAGATCGATCACGTCTAGCCGCTCTCTCAAGCCCGATCTGCCCATAGCCAACCAATTTGCACCAACGGTCAATATGGGGCAGATTCATCAGCTCGACAATGATTCCATACTCCCCATCTTAGAGGAAGATCCGGGGGCGGAGTCAGAAGGCTCCACCAAGACCATCACCGATATCCTTACTGAGACTCCATCGTCGCTCAGGTGTTTCCCTGGGGAACTTTTCATGATCAGCTGTGATAGACCCCCTCGGGACGGGGAAACAAATTCCTAGCGCATCACTCGAGAACACAAGAACGCCGACCGCACCAGACGCCACGTAGCAGAAGGCATTGCCATAGCTGTAGCAGCAGCCGGTGGTGGTGCAACCATCGGTGGTGGTGACACCAACCAGCAAGGAGGCCACCGCATTGCCTGCGATCTCAACGATGAGTTCATGCAAGTCAATGGGAACGAAGTCCAGCCAACGCCGAGCGCCAACCTCACCGTGGCCTTGAATGAGCTAGGCAGGCTCCAACAGACTCCAGTGCTTGCCAAGGCCACTGCCATGCTTAAGGTAGTGGCAGTTTAGGTCCTCCAAATTCGTGAAAATCAAGCTCCATCTCACTCCACCAGGTCGAACCGATATGGGAGGTCAAGGCAGACTCATTCCACTTGTCCAGGTGGAAGCTGTTTCTAGGCTGGTGGCCCCTATCTCCAAAGGGGGTCGAGAGGCAATGTCCTCATAAACCCTGGGCAACCGCCATGATACGCCAACCCTAACACCAACAAGGAAGTCAACCAGCCTTGTGGTGGAGACATTTGGGGCCACCTCAACCAGCTCCACGATGTTCACCGTCGCATCGACAGGAGTCGCAACTCGCACCACGTGGGTGAGATCCTCCGCCGACAAGAGTATGACCAAGAATGGGGCATTCCCGAGGCTGCTCTTCAGCCGATTGAGCTGGCTAATTCCGGTAATGCCGCTCGGCCTGCCGCCGGCATCGCTATCTGGCCTGTTGCTGGCACCGCCATCGCAGCTCCATGAGCTGCTGAAGCCTCTGCTCCGCTAGCTGTTGATGGCACCGCCATCATCGGTGATGGCCCATGAGCCTTCACAAGAAGGCTCCGCGCCATACAGTGGCTCACAAACTTCAAGATCTATGGGGTCCAGCTGTATGATGGCCATGCCAATCCCGAGCAATGGCTGATGAGTTATGCGATCGCCGTGCAAGCTAGCGGTGGCGACACCGATGTAATGGCAAATTACTTGCCAGTTATGCTTCAACCCACCACAATGAACTGGCTCACAAGTCTCTAGACGGATATCATTGACTCTTGGGATGACATCAAGAGAATGTTCATTGAAAATTACAAGGCGACTTGCGAGCGACCAGCAACAAAGCATGACCTAGCTAGGATCTACCAGAGGATAGGAGAGCTCCTTTGGAGCTACATCTAGTGCTTCTCGGAAGTAAGAAACCGGATTCCTAACAACCTTGACGCCGAAGTGATCACCTATTTCATCCATGGGCTCTATCATCACGATGAGCTCCATAGGAAGTTCAATAGGAAGCCACCAATCTCGATCAACGAGATGTTCTAGATGTCCAACCAGTACGCTGATGCTGAAGTGGCCGACTAGCGCCATAAAGAAGAAGTCAGCCGAGCTCCCCGGACCGATCACCCAGTGTGCTGCGATGACAACCACCGTGATGATCGGTGCAACGACAACCGTGACAGCCAACATGATGACCACCGTCCCAATGATCGTGATCGTCATGATAGACCGGAGGGGTCCAAACCAGGGCAGCTACAATGTTGCCAACCCAACAACTTTATCGGTTCCATCGAGCAGCCTTGTGCTAAATGTAATTAGGACATGCAGTTCGACAAGCTCCTTGACGGCCCATGTCTGGTCCACAAAGGCACAAAGCATACTATGAGGGAGTGCATGGGGCTTGCCAAGGTCTTAC